AATGCATACCATCTCCCATACCCAAGCCGCAATGATCGGGACGGAGACGACTGTGAGCCCAGTCAATCCTCGCTTTCTTCTACCCCAAGTCTTGTGATCGAGAATCCACTGCAGACCGTAGCCGGCAGGTATCTGCAACACAACCGCAATGAAACTCAAGAGCGAACGGACTCTCAAGTTGTTCAAATAAGCTAGGAGAGATCCCCGTTAGTCACAATCCCAAATCGAAGACGCCCCTGCTTACCATTCACTGCTCCACTATACACCAAGAAGCATTCCGACGGAAAGAAGGCGGGCAGCATCATGAGCAGCTTGGGATCTTTGAACACGGACAAATTGTCCCTGAACTCCTCCCAGGCGCCCCTCGGCGGATTGACGGCCACGACAGACCCGTCTTTCCTCTTGAGCTTGTGCGGGCGCTGCAGCGACAAGCACAAGAGCCCACCGACGACCATGATGGCGATAAAGGTGATGTAGACAGATCGTGGCACACCAGCGGTAGTGTTGGAGTCGCGATTGATGATGACCGGTATGATGCCGCCGATCACGGAGCCGAGCGCTTGCATGTTCATGAGCATCGTGGCGTAGGCGCCCTTTTCGTTCTCTTCAGGGTACGCGGTTGCGACGTAGCCGGCCGTGATGAAGACGCAGCCGGCACCGATGCCGATGATGGGCCCTGAGGCGAAGGGATAGTCTCTTTTGCCTGTTTCATCGTAGTACCAGAGCGACCCGACGTATACAGCGTACTACAAGAAATGAAGTGAGCCTATGATTCTACAAACGTTGGATGAAAGCGCACAAAGGCACGAAGTTTTGTGATGCTAGAGCCAGAAGACATGTTGTTTGTGATAAGCATTTACTTACTGTCTGCACACCAATACACATGGTCGGACCCGGCCCCAGCTTGTTCAGGATCGATCCTCCGAATGAGGACGACAAGAACCACACGGAACATAGAGTGGCATTGACGACCTGGACAACTTGCGCAGAGTCGGGACGACCGCCTCCCGCACCAAGGAGATTCAAGGCGACATAAAGGCCAGCTGAACAACCGACGCCTATGCCGCTAATGAAGTTCTGCGTCCACGGACTGTTCAGACGCAGCCGCTGGTGTAGGGTTTTGCCCATGGTGGTCATGTGTCGGTCGCGAACTCACGAGTAATGAAGCAAATATGAACAGAATGAGAAAACACACGAGGTGCGGACGTCACCGACGGAAATGTCTTTATCGGCAGTCTTACACGAAATCCGCAGGACGATTGACATGGTTGCGATGACTAGATCGTATACAATTGGCTGGAGTTTCGCGGTTCTGCATCCGATCGGCAGTTTACCTGTGCATTTGGTAGCATTGGGCCATCTAGTGCATATTTCCGCTGAGCCTGTAGTTGTTCTCAGATAGATAGGCAATCACTGTTGCTCCAGCAAAAGTTCGGAGATCTAATAATGAAGAGATGTGGACTACAGTCATGAAGGAAACATATGTGTGACTATGGCAAATTTCCAAGTGCCCATACATTAACTGTAAATCTGATGACAGGGGTTCGTCGTAATATGGTAGCACTATGGGCCCTGTAGTATGGCAAGACCTCTTTGCAAATGACCAGGTCATAGGTCATAGGATGTTACTCCAACTCAGACGAACCTTTTCTTCCCACAATGAGCTTTCTAATAAATTGATCTGGCACATTAATAATACAAGATCTTACGGATGTCTACAACAGAGCAGACTGAGGACAATACGCTCCAAATGACAAGTCCTGGCGCGAGAAGCTGCGCACTGGTTTGCTGCAGTGACCCGAAGTCCTTTGAAAAGCCAAGAGAGGTCCAGCGTCATTATTAATTGATATGCTTTCCGTCATGAGTCCACATGAACAAGTCAGCATCGGAACCAACGCAGCTTGCAGATCCAAGTCTTGACAACTCGACTAGACCTCGGTCCGAGATGGACGAGTCGCTATACACTTACATGGGATAGGCCTAAAGTGCCCAAATCCCCCCACTATAATCAATGGTCATTCGTCATACCAGTTGAGACCGGGTGTGGGGTTGTGTCAGTGTTGCGACTCTAACCGCTCCCAGCGGCCACCCATCATAGACTCGTCGGTGGGGTTGAGAAGTGCTTCCGGTGATATTCTCGGAGAATCGACAGTGCACGTCGCATGGTATTGAGCAATTAACTCTCTATAAATCCCAATCACAACATCCATCAAGTGAATTTGATCATACTTTTCTGTTATAGTGTCAAATAGACTAGACATCTGATCAGCCCATCCTGTCAATATGGTCACCGAAGCATACAAGAAGTCATCATTCTCGACTCCCCAGTGGTGGAAGGAGGCCGTCGTCTACCAAATATACCCTTCCTCCTTCCAGTCCCACCCGGGCAACAAGTCAGGATGGGGCAGCGTCAAGGGTATCACGTCGCGGCTGGACTACCTCAAGGAGCTCGGCGTCAACGTCGTGTGGTCCAGCCCCATCTTCAAGTCGCCCCAGGCCGACATGGGCTATGACATTGCCGACTACAAGACCATCGACCCGTGCTACGGCTCGCTCGAGGACGTCGACGTGCTGATCGCCGAGCTCAAGAAGCGCGACATGAAGCTCATGATGGACCTCGTGGTCAATCACACCAGCAACGAGCACGCCTGGTTCACCGAGTCGCGCAGCAGCAGGGACAGCCCCAAGCGCGACTGGTACATCTGGAAGAAGCCCAAGAGCGTCGCCGCTGATGGCACTCCGGAGCCCCCGAACAACTGGGCGCAGATCCTCGGCGAGGCCAACTCAGCCTGGACGTACGATGAGGTCACGGGGGAGTACTACCTCAGCCTCTTCACGCCCGAGCAGCCCGATCTCAACTGGGAGAACCCCGAAGTCCGGGCGGCAGTATGGGACGTGATGCACTTCTGGCTGAAGAGGGGCGCCGCCGGTTTCCGCATGGACGTCATCAACCTGATCTCCAAGGTCCCTGGGTACCCCGACGCCGAGATCGTGCTAGGCGAGGGGCACAAGTACCAGCCGGCCGGCAAGTACTACGTCAACGGGCCCAAGCTGCACGACTACATGCAGGAGATGCACCGCGAGGTCCTCTGCAAGTACGACACCATCACGGTGGGAGAGATGCCGGGCGTGAGCGACGAGAAGGAGGTCCTGCGCACCGTAGGCGCCCAGGCGGGCGAGCTGCGCATGATCTTCATCTTTGACGTCGTGGACATTGACAAGCCGCACGTGCGGATGGCATTGAAGCCCTGGGACGTCAAGGAGCTCAAGTCCATCATCTCGCGGTGGCAGCGGGTCATGATCGAGCTCGACGGCTGGAACTCGGTCTTCATCGAGAACCACGACAACCCGCGGTCCGTGTCGCGCTACGCCGACGACAGCGACGCGTTCCGCCACCTCGGCGCCAAGCTGATCGCGCTCATGCAGACGACGCTGGGCGGCACCCTGTTCGTCTACCAGGGCGAGGAGATTGGCATGCGCAACATCCCCAAGGACTGGGACATGGACGAGTACAAGGACATTGAGACGGTCAACTACTGGAAGAAGACCAAGGAGCTGCACGCCAGCGACGAGGAGCTGCTGAACCACGGCCGGACGGTCATCCAGATGAAGGCGCGGGACCATGCCCGGACGCCGATGCAGTGGGACGCCACGGCCAACGCCGGGTTCTGCGACGCCGACGTGAAGCCCTGGATGCGCGTCATGGACGACTACGAGACCATCAACGCGGCGGCGCAGACCAAGGCCAGCGAGCCGGACGACCTGAGCGTGTGGCAGTTCTGGCAGCGGGGGCTGGCGGACCGCAAGGAGCACGCGGACGTGTTCGTGTACGGCGACTTTGAGGAGCTGGGCCGCGAGCACCCGCAGGTCTTTGCGTACGCGCGGACGAGCGCCGCGGGCGAGAAGTGGCTCGTCGTGCTCAACTACTCGGGCAAGCAGGTCGAGTGGTACCTCCCCGACGGTCTCGAGGTCGACTTCTGGGCGGGCGGCAACTATACCAAGGGCCGCGTCAGCAAGCCACGGACGGCCATGGTGCCACTGAAGCCGTGGGAGGGCATTCTCGGAAAGTGTATCTAGACTATAGAATTATAGACCTGCGCCGGCGGGACTCGGTCGGCGACACGAGATAGACAAATACAGATATCCAATGATGCATTTGGAAGCTGATGGCCAAGGTTGTGAAGACTATCGTGAGGTGAAGACATATTACCCATCAAATGTCTTCATACGGCGAATGATACAGGATGCATGTCACCTTCCGAATGTTATCATGTAAGGCTGGTCTACGGCCAACGGTTCGAGGTGAGAGGTCTAACCGTCCAACCAATCCGTCCGTCCGTTGAACCAAACGGATATCCGTTGGATAACCGCCTATCCGCGACAAACCGTTTGGTTGGAAACGAGTAAACCGACGAAGTGGAAGCTGAAGACCAAGAATGTGTAGATCGTCATGATAGCAAATGTGTGGTACTCATAGAAATTCTTCAAACGATAAATGCTATAGGTAGGTGGTATAAGAATATATTAAGGATATCTTATAAAAATATATTAAGGATAACTACCTGACTTAGGTCTGGCGGTTCGCGATGAGGAACCGTCTGACCGTCCAACTATCCGTCCGCCCATGCCTCCAAATGGATATCCGTTGGATACCCGTCTACCCGCGACAAACCGTTTGGTCGGAAACGAGCAGATAAACAGGGCACATGCTAAGACCATCCAACAACAAAAGCTCGGCGAGACAGTGGAAGATGCCATATCAATTGGCTGCATTCTCAATGACCATAGAGAACGCATACCTTAATGTTTTCCAACGATACCAAATGTAGTGCCAGGTTGACGAACCTTGTGATCTAGAGAGGAAAGCAGAGCAATGATGATGGGGGGAGCTCTGCCCCGCATCTAGAACCCCACCATGTCTTGCCCGGAAGCTGACTTGCTATGTGTCATATACAACGATAAGACCACCATGTTTCAACAACCAATCAAGCAACAACCACGGCACTTTGGCGGAGTGGTTAACGCGATGCCCTGCTATCTACTAGATATCCTAGGCATTTCCCTCGGGAGCGTGTGTTCGAATCACACAGGTGTCGATTTTTTGGCCTTTTTGTCAGCTAAATCTTTGAGCTTCATCCGCATCGCGGCGACATCTGATTCCAGCGATGACGTCGACGAGGGGTCAATTATTGTTTTGGTGTTATCCCATGTGAATCCATGCGAGGATAGCCAACGATTTGCTGCAGTCATTGGGTATTGTCTGTGCGAATACTTTTGAATGCTATCGCGCAATTGAATGCATTTAATACTTGACAGACAAGAACGCTCACAATATGTTAGTTACACTTATTTATTATACCTTGGAGTTGATGCTAGAAACAGGGCATGCGACAAGCCCGGGCATGTCAAATCAAAATCCAAGCGCAGCTTGGAATATTTTGAAAATTGAGTTGTAAAATATCATCTTCGTATTTCAGCTATATAAATGACAATATTTGGTATCAATGCTCTTTCATGTATATCCTGTCGCAGGATGCAGAGTTTCAAATCAGCACACCGTGAACGCCCCGTGTAACCCATACCAAGTGCCTCATAAATTCATGACCAAACCCAAAGGCCTCTTTGGCATTTACCAACCACCACCGTGGTGACCGTTATGGCCTCCATGGTGGCCTCCGTGATGCCCTCCGTGATGTCCGCCGTGATGCCCGTGATGTTCATGATGCCCGTGGTGTCCATGGTGACCACCGTGGTGGCCGCCGCCGTGATGCGACGGAGGGCCGTAGGGACTCGAGTAGCCGCTGCCGTGGTGGCTGCTGCCGCCGCTCATAAAACTTCCGACGCTGCCTAGGAGCCCGCCTGACGAGTGGCCGCCGTGGTGGCCCCCGTAGGGGGGGTTGTTGTGGCCGTGTTTGCCGCCATGGAGTTTGTGCGAGATGACATTGGCGGCGACGGCACCGCCGACACCGCCCAGGATCGTGCCCAGCTTTCCCTTGCCCAGCTTGTGACCCATGAAGGCGCCCGAGCCTCCGCCGATCAGTGTGGAGCCGAGGCCCTTCTCCCCGTCCTGCGCGTTGGGGTCATTGGGGTCCCGGTACGCCTGCTGTTGTCCGTACTGCTGCTGCTGGGGATATTGTCCGTAAGAGGACGGGTCAGCCGAGTGCGAGCGCGGCGGAAGGTAGGGCGAGGCCGGCTGTGCGCTGGTCGGCCGGGAGCCGTTGTCATACGCTGGTGGGTAATCGGAGTGGGCGGAGCCTGGACGCGCGTATTGCGGCTGCGCTGGGTAGGGCGCCAAGTGTTGCGACGACTGCGGCGCTGGAGATGCGTAGCTTGGCTGTGAGGGGTATGAAGATGATGCGTATTGGGGCTGCTGTTGTCCGTATTGTTGCTGTTGGCCATATTGCGATTGCGACGGGTACTGGCCGCCAGAGCCGGAAGTACCATAGTAATCTGATGCTGACATTGTGGTTTCTGTTCTACCAAGAGACTTCGCAAATAGAAACCGAGATAATGTGCGTCTTGCGCGAGGATATCGAATTCCGTAATATGGACAGAAAAATGAAAAGAAAGCCCTTTGACGTTTTAAATTTGATCAAATGGCGCTGTGATGATGTGTGGTAGTCACTAGATCGTATTCTAGTCGACTGATGGGAGTTTATTCGATGAATCACAAGAACAAAGCCAGCAACTCGCTCGAGGAGAACAACGCAACCTCTTATAGATCAAACCTACCTCGGACTTTAGTCGCCTTTCGCGGCGCTTGAATTCTAATACGCGTATGCATAGCAGAATTCTGATTACTGACCGCAGCGCTTACGCATTTCTGCGGAGAGGCTGAGCTTAGTTTTTAGTACAAAATTGTCGTCGTTCAGGGAATCAGCTTGCTCGACACAATTGGCGGCATGTCTTTGTTGGGCAGTGGCAGGGGCCTTTGACAATGGCCAATGGCTCATCATCAATGGCTGTGGCGGATTTTACTACTAGGGAGTCCGGGGCTGTGCCGTGACCCGTCGGTGTCATACTGGCAGGTAACTCCGGTGGCCGCTTGGTACGATTCGCGACAGTGCCCAGGTCGCAGGGCCGTGGCCAGGCGGCCTTTGCCCAACACTAATTGGCCGATCTCTCGTAGCTAGAATAGCTTCGTGAACGAGTGGGGAGGCAATGCCGTCTTCCGATCCGTCCTGGAGTGTTTACTGCTCTTGTTGACCACTATACTCTGGCAGCGAAGCAGATAAACAAGATTGCAAGCATAATCCTGGGTTCTAGCGCGTCTTTGCAGGTCAGTAGACCACGACAAATCAATAGGTAATAGTACCATCTCCGTTGCCCAGGTCCTCACGGTGTATGACCTGTCATTGGCAACATGGTTGTGATATAGACGCTTCGAAATTATAAAAAATCAGTCGCTTTCCAAGTGTGAACACATATCAAGTCTCCAGCGCTCGGAATGTGTGTCAGGTTGATGTAAGACATTCCATTTATAGTTGAAAGCAAGGGATGGCTTTTCGAAATGTTCCGAAGTATCGGTTCTCAATATATATAGCCCGCAAATCCCCTCTTGGATATTCCTCATCGTATCATCATTTGACACCATGGTGCACCGAACGCCTTGTCGCGTGTCGCGCGAACCCAAATCCCAACAGCAATTGTTAATGCATCATAATCGTAAACAGGTATGCGCCGCGGCTGTTTTGAAATTGTTGAAAATCGAACGCTCGAGACAAACTCAAAGATGAAATGCAATGCTGTTGTAGTAAACGCCGTGGATATAGTCGATTCCTTGTGGGGGAAAAACCTCAAAACAGGCGTGCCTAGGCAGGTGTTCCTTCGTTATTTCATGCGTTGTACAGCCCATACAGAGCAGAATGGGAGAGACCACCAGATCCTGAACGGTTCTGGAGCCATCTTGATCTTTAGCCAGCTGGCAAAGAGATCTCGCTTTCCGAGTCCGAGCTGTCATTGGCTGCTACACGGTCGAGCATACGCTCAATGTCAGCATCTTGGAGCTGTGGTCGCGGCCTTGACGGTGCAGTGAGCCCGGCAGATACGGACAGAGATGGTCTGGATCCACTAATGGTCTTCCGCCGCGGCGTTCCTCGAGGCGATCCATAATGGTCGTCCACGTCCATTTCGCTCATGTTACTCGGCGACTTTTCGAAGCCTACACGCTTTCCGACAGAGCTGTGGGCATGATGCCGTATTGTTGGCAGGTTTTTCCGCGGTTGGCTGCTCGGTGCCAATCTGGAAGTAGGGAGGGCTGTTCTATGCGTCTGGGTATTATTTGGTCCTTGTTGCGTCGTGGGTGGTAACGTATGCTTCATGTTGGCCGAGTTGCCTGGACTGCTCATGAAAAGGAGCGTCTCCAGCGCCTCTTGCTCTCTCACATTTTGGTGCGGAGAAAAGACCATTTGATCGGTATGTGGCGTCCTCAAGGTGCCTATTCCGGGCGTACTCTGAAGCGGGCTTGGCTGAGCCGGGCTACGGGGCGAGGCCTGATGAGAAAGATAAGCGGGAGTGTGTCGTGCGTTGGAATTGCGACGCGGGTTGAGATAGCCAGACCGTCCTGGCTGTATGGCGGCCGGAGGAGCTAGCATGGAGGCTTGAGAAGATGGCGGAGAGGCCGACTGGTTCTGGGAACTGACATTCGTGTCGCGCCAGAATGCCTGATTTGCGCGTCCTTGTGGCCCTTGTTGCCCAACGGGACTGATTCCTGCGCTCTGTGTCCCGTGACGCATCGCTGTCAGTGACAGTCTGGGGCTCGGATTCGCGCCCGCCCGGCCATGCACAGTCGACGTGCTAGATACAGGCGAAGCAGCTTGCGAAGCCAGCGATTCTACTTCGTCGATGGAATTGCTCTGCCAGCCATGATTGACCTTCATCATGGCATAGGACAGTTTCGCCTTGAGTTCGGATGAAAGCTATAGTATCGTTAAACTCTCTGCTGCATAAGGTTGTGCGTGTCAATAACTTACATCGCCAATGCGGCTCCCGGTTGTGGAAGTCGCGCTCACTGCACTCGTATTCCTCGAATGCCCAGACCTGCGGACGGGAGAAGTACTCATACTATCTCTGGTATATTTGACCGCGCCATCCGCCGTCCTCTTTCTTGACTGTGCGCCCTCTGCCAGCTTTTCCTGGGCAGCAGCTAGCTGTGACAACTGCAACAGTTGTGATTCCTGGCTTGAACCATTTCCATTGGCATGCACTGGGCCGCTGCTTGCGCCACTATCGCTCCCTGGTGGGGTGAAGACGCGATCGCGGTCGCTATCGTGCGTCGCGGTTGTGTCCTGAGACTCGTCATTGCTGGAGTCATTGATGTGCTGGGTCGTGTTATTGCGGGCAAGAGATTCGCGAGCGGCGTCGGGGCCGAGCACAGGATCATGCGTGCCCCTCGCATCCACGAGCGACATGTTGTTGGATCGCTACCCGGCGCCGGACTGTCTAGTGAGGCGATGGGGGGTGGGCAAGGTGTGTAAGTTCGGTGGGATACCAAAGCCCGAGCAGTAGAAGCCGCCGTCGCGTCGGGGGGGGACCTTTGGCTGCGGGCCGCGATTGTACAGTAGGTAAGCACGTTCGCAAGCAGAGAGGTTGGGTGATGGGCCGTCGTGGCTGCGCTCGCCGGTGCTGCAATTGAGCAAGGAAATGAAGCAAAATTGAACCTGCGCCAGAGAGGCGTACGAGTCTTGTCTGCCCTCTTCTTCCTCTTCTTCGGCTGGTCCCGCCCACGAGTGGCAGTGACTGTTACAGAAAAAGTGCTCGGCTTTCCACTGCCAGATGCGGCTTTTCCTCTCTGTGGTAGCGAGACACGCCCAATACGCGTCGGTGGCCAAAGCTAGTCGAGTCAGAGGTCCAATTGCTGCGATTAACACGTGCAACACTGAGACATTGGGAAGCGGGAGGAGGAGAAATTAAAAAGCAATTTAGAAAGACACAACCGAGTAATATGACTATGCAACCACTCGGGAGATCTACAAATATATGCAAAAGGTGAAAAAGGAACGAGAATGGATGTAGGTTGAGAGAGTGCTCAAGTGCTTGCTAAGGTAAGGTAGGGGAATTGAATTTAGCGGTACCTCGTACCTCCCCTCCAGGTAGG